ATACTTTCTTCTTTTTCAGTTGCTGATATGTGTTCAAGATGAGTGGAATGGGAGAAAATTCCTCTGACCCGTCCAGGGCAGAGTCACGAAAGCGCAAGGATCCTGATCAGCTTGGACCCAGGTTAGACCATTTATGACCTACAAGTCTCTGCTAATCATCCTTATTCTTCAAACAGCTAAGGAGAGACTACTTTCTCTTAACTTTTGCTGTGTGTAACAGAGCTAGGCAAGCTTTCCTAATGTAGCTCACTAATAAAATTCTGTTTGCCTAATTTCTTTAAGATATGTTTTTGTAGTTGGAGCAGTTCATTTTACTTTTATCAAATTACTGTCATTTTTCAAGCTGTCCAGGAGGCAAACAAACTGACACCAAATACATTTTTAAACTCCTATTTCAGCCCTAAAAGAAGCACTGAGAAACGTAATCGAGAGCAAGAGAATAAATACATAGAAGAACTTGCAGAACTGATTTTTGCAAATTTTAATGACATCGACAACTTTAACTTTAAACCTGACAAATGTGCAATCTTGAAAGAAACTGTGAAGCAAATTCGTCAGATAAAAGAACAAGGTAAGAGAACTTATTAATTGGCTTTGAATATTTTAACTTGTTTATTTTTATTTTGCTTTTGGCAAACCTTTTCAGCTTTTCTTCAAATTTCCAAGTTTTTTTTTAGTTGTTAAGAAAATATATTGTAATACAACGTGAGTGAAGTGTTAAATGTCTTTCCAGCATTTTCAAATTAGGCTTCATGTAGAGTTCAGAAATTACTTAGAAAATAAGTCAGTGTGATGGAATTGAAATCTGGTGTATTTTCACAAAAGTTAGCGTTGCACTACAGTTAAAAAAAAACCCCAAAGAAGCCAAAAAACCCACCCTTTTTGTATATACTTTCATGAATGATGAATCCATTTAAAATAGGAATAATCCACGAGTGTGAGGTATGAAAGTTTTTTGTATTCCCCCATTTGCTTTCTTTGTTCATATGAATAGATATTGTGGACTAAATTATCTACGTCCCTTAAATTATAACGTCATATCCTGAACTACAATAGATTTGAAACTATTCTAATCTCTAGATAGAGTCCTGTTATAAACGCAAAGTAGAGAACGTGACAGTTTTCTTCCTGTTCTTTGTCCAGAAGATTAGTTTTGTATTTCTTTTCTTTTGATATGCTTCCTATTTAAAGAAAAAAGATTTTAGAAACTTGAAAAATTTGTGGGTTTGTTTGTGGCATAAATTAATCCGGACAGGCATGAGTAGTACTGCAGGTGTTTGGGAGAGAGAGATTCAGATTCTTAAAGTGTGTGCATCTCTCTTTAGGGCAATATTGGATTCTCTTCAAAACTGGTGGTTGGAGTAATTCCTTTAGCTTTTAAATGCCTTCATGAGCATCCTTCTTTTGCTCAGTATTTAAGGTTTCTTTGGGAAAACAAGACTTCCCTGTCCATACTGTGTATGTAAATTTATGAAAGCAGAGATTCCAGGTTGTGTGATTTGAGTGTAGGTTCGTTCCTAAAGCAAGTAGGTTAGCAGACCTGTTCAAAGCTAAGTGGGAAGTATCGCATTTTATGTCAGCTGCCTCTGAAGTGTCTGTATTTGATTAATCTTTAGGAATGTTCCTATTTCTCAATTTCTTCTGCTAAGTTGCCATAATTTACATAGCAGTCAAGCTGGGAAGTCAGCGGGGAAGGAGCTATTCCCAATGAGAGCAAAATGGTGCTTTGCCTGTGGAGCGGGCGCGCAGAGGCAGACCTGGGAGCCCCCTTGGTGGGTTTCTCGGCACGTTCGAAGCGTGATGACTCGCAGCAAGTTCAGAGCCAGGTTCAGAAGTTTGGCTCTAGCTAACGAAACTCTGGCGAATCCAGCATTTCATATGGCTGAAGAAACCATATGAAAAACAGTTTTTTTCTGTTACGTAAGGCAACTTCCTGGGCTGCTTCACACTCATCAGACCAGGTTGCGTTAAAATTATTTAAGCTGTCGTGGACTACCAATAGTGCTGGAATTGCACCAAAACCGAATGTGCACTTCATTTACTAAGCCCATAAAGATTTATTTTAAACAACTGGAAATGCAGTTGTAAGACAGACTAAAATGCTATGAATATTTTTCATTAAAACAAGTAAAAGTAGCTTGCAACCACTGAGCAATAAAAGTAAAAATACTTTTTATGGTGATTTGCTGCACAAGGTTCTTCACCTGAGAATAATTAGACTGTCTGACAAGTCTTTGTATCTCTACATATAAAACTCAGCTAGCTATGGACTAAACTAGACTTTACTCCTTTCCAAGGGGTACTGCAAAACACTGAGCTCTTCAAGGTGTTCATTAACAGTATCTCAGGAGCTAGAGACAAAGATTAGAATACCGGAAATTATTCCTTTGAGCTAATTGATAGTTTAATAACTGCTTCCTACGGTTTGCTTTTAAGTCTGTTTGCTTTTAAAGCACTTTAAAGGGATTTTTGGTTTTACGTATAAAATTTTAATTTTAAGAAACTATTCAAATCACAGCATCTTATGAAATGCAGCTTTGTTTCGGAACAGACACTTGGATAATAAGTAGGACTTCAGTGGTCAAACCATGTAAGCAATACAGGGCACCTCTCCATCTGTTGCATGCTGCAAAAAACCAGTGACCTCATCAAGGCGAACATGCCGAAGAGCTAGCGTGGATTTTACTGTTGCTCTCACAGTTGGCAGGAAGCTCATGGCATCACAGTGGGAATCCTGAGCTTGTATCATCCATCATTTAAATCTGTTTTCAGTTGTTCTGAATCCTTCTCATTGCTTCTGCACTGCTAACGAGTGAAAATGAAGAAGGAAGGAGTACCCCTTGATATTCGGTTCCTATGTTAAGCTTGCTGGGCAGGTAGCTGAAAAAATTTGTAGGGTTTTTGCCATAGTAATACTGTATGATTTAGTATAATACTACACTGATACATTTGGCATGCAAATACATATTTGCAGTAATATATCTGTTATCTTTACATCAATTCTCACAGAATATGCTTAAAAGTTTCTTTAGTTGTGGCAGGTTAGAGATTCATTTTATTATGTGTGAGTAACTGAATTCATTAAATCAGTTAAAGATACCTGGAAGATGTAACCATTAGATGTATTTTGGTCTGGGTCTGGGTTTTGGTCTGGGTTTTTAAAATGTTTTTAGTACTTGGGAGCATGAAGATGAGTTTCTTTACAAAAGCTTAATTTTCTTCTGTGGCCATTTACTGAATTGTTGGGTAGAGATTTGCGGATGTCCAGAGGAGATGGAAAAATGTGATTTTGACAGGAAGATGGAACAGCAGTTGTATTCATGTAAATCCTAAATGAAATATTCCTGTGGGTGATAATGAGACCTGTGTTGCAAGCGGCTTGGGAAAAAAACAAAAACCCTTTCGTTCAGTTACATATTTGTGGCACGCAAGTGGTATATAAAGATGTTTATATATTTGTCTTACATGGTCATCCCAAATCTTAGCTCTCTTGTTATTTGTGGCCCATGTTATACCAACTATAAGAATAGTAGTCATATATGTTCCAGATGTGTATATAGCGTAGACAGATGTGTTCAAGCACATTAAGTTCTGATTTGTACATGTACATGTTAGATTTAAAACTTTTGGTTAAGGGACGTATAAGGACCACTGGGGGTGAATGTTCCTTCATATGTGAGACAACCAAGCAGCTGTATTTTTTATTATCTTCCTTAAGTGCAATCAGCAAAACAGTGCCTGGTTGATTTACGATCCTGTATTTCGTTTTCTTGAACTTCAGCATTTTTGACAAATTAATTTAAGTTTCATTCATTTAAGCACTTCTGAAAATGATTTTACATATCTCAAGTCAACAAACTCCAATACCAGATGAAAGGAATCTGGATTTGCTTCTTCCTCTTGTGTTAGTTTATAATCAGTGGGACTGTTTCACATCAATCTCATTTGATTTTATATCTTATGCTAGGTTTGTTTTTCCTTTAGCTCACATAATCCGAGTGATTGCCTCATCCTTTACTTTTCCTAGTATGTTCTTGGTTGCTACGTCCTCCTCTGGTTGGTATTCGCCTTCCGCGCATTCAGAGGGGCATGGGGATGCCCAGGTGCTCCCTTGTGTGCCGGCTCTGCCTTCCCTCCGTGTCCCGCTCCCCTATGGCCCCGTTGCTGGCCGGCGTTGGCGCTCCGCGCGTTAACTTCGCGGTAGGGCAGTGCGGGGCTGTGGGGATGCTGATTACCAGCCTAGCTGTTAACGTGCACAGCTGAGCTGTCAGGTCTTGTTTTCAGCACAGCCCTTCCCGACAGGCCCTGGATGAGTGAATCACTGTGTGAAAGCCAAGCAACGCCGGGAGAAAGAAGTTGTTGATGGAGAGAGACGTGCAGGAGTTTTCGGACCAGTATGAATTAAGAACTCTTGTTGTTAATCCTGTGTATCTGCTTTACTTCTGGTTGCACATCTGATCCGAAAAACAGCTTTTGCTTCCTGATAGCCTGCTCCCTTCTAACCACATGTTCACTCCAGCAGATACCGTGTTGTTGCCTCCAGCACCAGTACGCAAGGAAAATCACTTGCTATAGGAAAACAACATGGCCTTAAAGCTGTAATGAGATGCGAGTTTGGCTGCTGCTACTTTTAATTTATCAGATCTGAATTCAGATTCATATTTCACAAGGTATTTAAGCAGCTGCCTAACTTTAAGCACATGAGTAATCCCTGCTAAGTCAGTGGAACTACTTACAGTTTAAAGTTATGTGCATAAATATCTTACCCAGTCAGCGTATTAATACAAGAAGGCATATGCAGACATGGTTTTGGTTCTTGTTTTTGCTTTGCAAATATTTTGGTTGGGCAATTTTACATATTACATGTAAGTAAATTGAGCGGTCAAGATTTAAAATTGGTGCCATCGTCTGCACTGATTTGTCGTTTTTGAATCCTTTTTGAAGGACTTCTGCGTGGCTATTATAACTTACAGGTGCTGCACAGGCTGATAGGATTTTAAGAGCGAATTAAGTGTCAGAGGAATTTGTGCTGTGGAAGTAGAGCAATTAAGGCGTAACGTTTACCAAAAAAATCTATTACTGAATTTGCTTTGCTGTCTCCTCTACCTGAGCCTAGCGGGGAATGATGCAAGTGCCTTTAATCTTCCTCTGAGCATTGTAGAGCTCTTGGGCTAAGTACCAAGTTAGGGTGACTTTGCTACTACCGTGCCTCCAGAGAGATGTGGATTCAGGGAACAATTTGATCAGTTTTTAGGTAATGCGAAACGTCAGTTTCTTTTCTGCCTCCAATGAAATGTAGGTGTTAGAGAGCAAATTTGCCAAGTGTGACATTTCCCAGCTTTTGCTTATTTTACTGGGTCTGTGTATCGTGCAGGCTCGTGGGCTTGGGCCTTGTCTATGTACAAGTTAAGATGCTTCAACTATGCTCATACTTTTCTGTGGAAGCAGTAGTAACATTTTACCAGTGTGATTTATGAGCAGAGCAGCTGACGGCACCCTTATGACTTGTAGCTGTGTCTACAGCAAGCTCCAGCTCTTATTGTGGCAAAGACACCAAAATGAACCTCAAAC